CTCACTGGCTGAGCGAGGTGCGGGCGCAACACCAAGGGTTGTGATCCCGTTGCCGGTCCCGGTCCGGTACGGGTGCAACACTGAGGGTTGCGATCTGTTGCCGGTCACGAAAAAAGACAAAAAGGAAAAAAAAAAAAAGTTTCTGTTCAGCGGAAATGCATGTCCACAGAGTAAGAAGTTCTGGCTGGGAGAGAGCTTTAGAGGCCAAGCTGAAGACAGGTGAAGGGGCATCTTCACTCGCCCGTCCATTCATCCATTTTTCATTTTTCACCCATTCACACTCTTGCACGTCTTCATTTTTTAATTGAGCTGCTACCGCATGCCAGACACCAGGCCCGCAGCACATACCCTACACATTAGCAATAACTAGAGTACAATTTTATGAATGAATGAGCTGCTCAAAGATAAGAACAAAGAGAGAAACACCCTGTCAATGTGTCGAGGATAAGGCAATGACCATTCATGTTAGAAAATATTTGGTGAATGAGCCAGGTAAGGAGCATGGGAGACTTTTCCAGAAGCCCCAGACTGTACCAGCAACTGAGAAAGATGAGGCTTTCACAGAGGTCAGAAATGTAAAGGCTGAGCTCACCACAAAGATGAGGGTAAAACATCACAAGTGTGTTCCCTCAGGGCTCATTTGCTTCAGCAAGGCAGCAGAAAATCAGAAATACTTTGGGGTTCCCATACAATACTCATTGCTCCTAACCACTCTAGAGGAATCTCTCTCTCCCTCCCTCCCCTGCTTATGCCTCAGGCCAACCAACGACTCTAGTTGGACACATATAGCAGTTAGTTTCAGGAAAGTTTCTGAGTTAAAGCCAGAAGAGGAAATATGATGAGTAACAGTAATCATCTGGGAAATACGAAGAACCTCGCAAAAAGAGGTCCTTCTGAACTGTTGTGCACATTACAAAGAAAGAAAAAACAGGGCCGGCCCGGTGGCGCACTGGATAGTGCACCGCTTGGGAAGTGCGGCGGCGCTCCCGCCCGAGGGTTCGGATCCCACATACAGACCGGTTCCCGCTCACTGGCT